TGCTTTCAATTTACGTAGTACCTGTAGTTTAATAAAGTTTAGTTTGGATGTTTGGATAATATATAAGAAGAGGACGAAAATTATTCAATTAATAGTCCATTAAAACTATACAAAAAGGGAGCAGAGCAAATTGTGGACCTCTAAAATATCAGAGGAGGGATCATGTGCCATATAGAAGTGAGCATACCCTGCCGATCTGTCCCCATCCGCCGTGTGCTCCTCGTCGTAATAGTGAAAATAATGGAAAATCCGTCGACAATCCAGTCTTTAAATAATGGCCTAACAATCAGTATAAAAACCGTAAGACAGCATTTGACTTAATGATTGATTGTATTTGCTGACAAGGTAATTGTATCGACCATAAAACTTACAAAATGATGTGTTGATATTCTTGATTCATCAATTAATATGTAAAATGAGTTATATACAAGGACATTATGATACTGACTTTTCTTGGAGGATGAACACATTGTATATTCAATATCAAGCTTATTTCATGATCAAGCTTTATTCTTTGTCTCTGTTGTCTTTCTGTGTGTCTGTCTGTCCTTGGTATAGGTAGTAATACAGAAAAATAATCAAGATTTTGTAGAGGATGGCACTTTAAGCCTAGGGCTGGGACGATACAACTTTTTCTATATCGATACGTATCACGATATTTGAGCCACGATACGATATGTATCACGATATGTTTAATTGCTTATAAAATCTTTTTTTGCATTGAAATAAACAAATTATTTCTTTGCAAAAAAGAATGATTTATTCAAAATAGTTGTTTATATGTTTTAAAACAAAAATATTTCACTCAAGTGGTGTTAATCTATATTAAGCTTATTTATGTTATATATATATTAGCCCCAAATGTTAAATAAACAAAGAAAAACAGAAGTAAGATTTTTTTGGGCGATATATCGATATTTCTTCATATGTATCGATATGCGTATCATCCCCACAGATATCACGATTTATCACATATTTACCCCTTTATCCCGTTGATATAGCTCATATGATATCGTTTTCGTATCAACACTATGTATTCCTACGCCGCGTGACGTAATGTAAATAAACAAATACATGTGCATGATGGAGAGAATTCCAAATAATTCAGTTGTAAAAATTGATGGAGGTGGCTCAGGTTAGGTGAAATCTTCTAAATTTGAAAATGATAAAATTATTCATGAAGTTGAGATTAAGGGAACAGGTCTGATATTGCCATTTCCAAGTTACCGTCTCAAAATAGAGAGACCTGTCTCGCAGCAGACGATGTCTGGAACGCGTTTTGAATCAATAGATGAAAATGATATTGATAAATATATAAATGAACAAGAGAACAAAAACACCTGGAGAAAAACTTCTGCTGACATAAATTTGCTAAAATCGTTTCTTGAAACACAAAATGAAAGCAGACCAATAGAAGCAATCCCTCATTCTGAACTGAGTAACATTTTGTGTAAATTTTTCTTGAGTGTCCGCAAGCCTGATGGCTCAAATTATGAACCAAACACATTGCGATCATTTATGAGCAGCTTCGATAGATATTTACGTAAAATGAAGTATGGATTTCAGATTGTTTCAAGCATCGAATTTGTTAAAGTGCGCGAAGTTGTCAAAGCAAAACAGCGAAGTCTTAAACGCGAGGGCAAAGGAAACCTGTCTAAAAAGGCAGATCCATTAACTGACATAGAAATAAATAAACTGTGGGAATGTGGTCTATTAGGGGTTCAAACTCCTGAGAGTATATTAAATTCACTTTGGCTATTCAACACGATTTATTTTGGACTGAGGGGTTCAGATGAACACAGATCCATGTCGTGGGGTGACATTTGTTTACAAACCGACATTTCTGGCGTTGAATACCTAACATTCAATGAACGGCAATCAAAAACAAGACCAGGGATAAATCCAAGGGATGTTCGTGTAGTCAAACCCAAAATGTGGGCAAATACCGACGCGCCAGATCGATGCCCAGTTGCTATTTACAAACTATATTCAGAAAAAAGACCCTATGATTTTTCAAAACCCGATGATCCATTTTATTTAGCAACACATACCCAGCAACACGCTATGTCAGTCAAAGAACAATGGTTTAAGAGACAGCCAGTTGGCGTTAACAAATTAGCATCTTTAATGAAAAGAATGGCAAATGCAGCTGGCATTGGTGGAGACAAAAAACTCACTAACCACAGCGCTCGAAAACATCTAGTGCAAAAATTAAGCGAAAACAACGTACCTCCAAATCAAATCATGCAGATAACTGGCCATAAAAACATCCAATCCATTAACAATTACAGCAGCATCAATGAAAATCAACACAAAAGTATATCTGGCATCCTTTCGAACTCCGCACCTCCTGTAAACAACCCCGGATCCGCCACATTCAATTGGACACAAAACAATTCAGTCACAAATACCGCTGTACGAAACACTAACACATCCAACACTGGAAGTTCCATGATTGTCAATGTTTCAGTGGGAATTCAAAACTTCTTGAATGGAGACGTCCACGGTGGAAAAATTATTGTAAACATACATGAATGTTCAAACAAAACACCACGGAAAAGGCCGCGTGTCATCTATGACACGGACTCGGATGACTAAAGTCAATGATGATTATAGATGACTTTATTTGTCAAATTTCACTTCATTTGCTATTTTTAAACAAATTTTCATTCATGAATTAAAAAAAATAAGTGCTGAAATACTTTCTTTCTTTTATTTTTGTACGAACTATTTCATACAGCGTAATATTATTTATAACGTTATTTGGTTCGAGGTAACCGAAAGGGAACTTTGAATTAGAAATAAAGACAAAACACGCATTTACAGTGAACAAAATATGTGATAAAAAGAATCTCTCATGGTTTGTGGTTTGATATGATTTTTATCCAACTCGTTGTGTGTTTTCTATCCCCTCGCCAAGGCTCGGGGGTAGAAAACACACAACTCGTTGGATAAAAATCATATCAAACCACAAACCATGAGAGATCCTATATATATCGATATCTCGATATATCGTCCCAGCCCTATTTAAGCCAGAGCGCTTTTGTCTCTTGGCTCTTCACTGGATATATAAATATACTGCAGTCATTGCCTTTGGTAATTTTTTATATGAAAATGTATTTTGTTATTTTACTAAATATTTAACCATGTGCTTGAGAACTTTGAAATGTGTATTTATGAGCAGCGTCCCTAAACTTGGATATAAGTAGTTTTACTTGCGGGTGTTCAAATTTTTTAGTAAGACCATGATGTTATCACGAGCTAACATTAAACGAAGCTTAACTTATTGTTATATAACATAAATGCTTTGTTCATAAAAGGAAAATCACGTCCATAAGAAGATACAAGTCTTCGTGACTCTTAGCTGTCATTAGGTGTGTCGCAATCCTTGTCAGGACCTGATAAAATCTATGCGCCTCATTATTTCTGATCATTTTAACGCACGAGAACTCTTTATCAAATAAATGTGCTGAAACTTATAGTCAGCATTTTGAAGGAGAAAGTCATCAGTTTACAATAATTTGTTAAAGGACAAAATAAGAAATTGACCTTCATTTTGTGTCAATGATATAGTGATGATGATATAGGGCCTGGAATTCATAATGGGATTGGACCCATTGTATCATATTGTCTATTAAGTGATATTGCAGTTGCATATTTGATTCACTTTGCTGTCAATAAATAATGTTTGCTTTCTTCCGGGGGATGCAGAGGTTAATTGGCGTCTCATGTCTGCAATACACATTCGGTGAGAATGTAATGCTTTCATTTCTAAACCAAAGGATAAAAAAGACTTAACATTAATTTTGGTCGAGTATTAGGTATTTAATTGCCCAAGGTATAGAAAGAAGATGGGCATCTACAGAAACATTCATAGTTTAAATGTCCAATTCAGTCAGACTAATTTGTCGACAGACCACAGTTAGGCAGACCGTACTGTGAGAAAGCTAATTAAGCAGATCTGGAAAATGTTTCATTACTATAAATTACTTTATATAGTTGATGTTTAAAATTAGTTGGACGAAAGATTTGAAAAAAAAAAATCGTTAAACAAGATCAGTGAATTTAAAATAAAAATATCCCGATGCAAAGAACCACTTCCTTAACGTCAAAGACATAGCATATACGAGTATATGTACCATCGTTTTGAAAGACAATGAAAACAGAGTATTTACGCAATGTTATTCTTTTGGAGAAAAAGTTTTTATGGTCCCTATGCATTCTCTTCGATTTTTCAATTATTTGCTTGTATCTTTGTGTTAAAATGTACACAGATAACGTTTTCAGATCGTGAAGCGATGACCCAGAGATAGAAAAATTATATAAAAACGCGTTTAAAATTTGATTTGTACTGAACGATTCATCTAGCCATATTTCAGGTCATACTTTAGACAATCAAAACTGGAAACAAAAAAAGGAAGGGAAATTTCCCCTTTTCTAGATACAATAAACCTATTTATCAATAGAGCCCAAAATAACCCGAAGCATCAATAAAATTGTCATTTTTTTCAAGAGTCATGCCGAGTGCAAATTAGAAGCATCCTTCTTTTTAGAGATAAAAGATAATGATGTCGTTACGACAGTCTCTAAACAGAATTACCAGTCTGCATTGCTTTCAGGAATAAGGAAAAGCATTCTATTCTAATTATTTGAAAAAGCGTCGCGTCTGTGTAATGTCAATGATAAAAATATCTTGTTTCATAGACCTTTAAGATATTGCAATGCACGTAAGTATCTAAATACTTAAAAAAAACGTATTGCCATATCTAATAAAATTCTTTTTAAAATATATATAATACTATTTGTATAATATATTGAGGGGTTAAAAATAATCAAAAGTGGGTAATTGTTTTAAAGAATTTTTAAAGAGCAAATGACTATTATTTAATTTTCAGAATTTATATGTGTTTGATGTACCTTTTTGACTTGGTTACAAAAAGCAAAACATCGGAAGAATAGGTCATGAAAATAATATAAATAAACATTGTTTTTATACTTACCCTTTTTAGAATCGATGTGTAAAGATACGCTATAATACTAACAGGGATAATGAGACCTGTGAATAATATAGTAATCACGTATGAATGATTGGCTATATCCCCAGTCCAATCTACGGAACATGTCAGTCTTGCGGGCTCCAGAACATACTTGTTCCATCCAAACAATGGTAAGATTCCCCACGTCACTCCGTAAACAAAACATACAATAATGATTGCTAATGTGACGCTCTTTGTAACTTTGTGGTGAGATTGGTATTGTACGATAAAAATATATTTGTCAATCGCTATGCCAGTCAAAATAGCTATCATTACAATTCCTAACCCGGTAAGTAAAAATCCATGAACTTTGCAGAGTCCGTCTCCAAATAGCCATTCGTGTCTTATACTAGAAGCTGCCGCAAATGGCACCCCTAGAATGGCAATAAGAAAACCACAGATGCATAATGCAACTACATACATATTGCTAGTTGTAGCGATCTCTTTACGTGAAAAGTACAAGTAGATGATAGCACCATTGACAAGAATACCAAATATCGTAACGAAGAAGAGGTACACTGCCAGGATAGTATACATTGTATCGGAGAGCTGTCCATGCCCCGGTGCCACACAAGTCGATACATTCTCACTAGAGTTAACTACAATGATATCCTCTAATCTAGAAGACATGCTCAGGATACATCTTTCACACTTGTGTGAAGTAGCCTGTCACTTTTAAAGTACACTACTCTGAACGGTGACTTTTATACATTGCGTGTCTCCGATAGATTGTTTCCCCGCCCTGTGGATATAAGGAGTAATCAATATCTGTGAATTTGTTGCTTATATTTTTTTCTTAACTTTGACAGATTTGTTCAGATTCGAGGAGTTTCAGTTCTACGCAGTTACGATTGGTTCATCTATCATCAAATTTAAAATCAATTCAATTTATCCAAATTCTTGCAAATATATTGTATATTTTGTATTTCATGCGAAAAAGTATCAAATGGTGAGAAGTCTAATGAAAAAAAATAAGAATTTACTAAGGGCACATAGGTAAGGATTAAATCGGACTGACGGCTAAAGAATGAGAATCTTTACATTTGCAACTCTTTTTTTTATGAACATACATTTCTTGTTATGTTTTTATAGAAATTTATATAAAAACCTTCTCCGAAAGCTAAAATTTAATCCTTATACGTCATTTGCCTTATATGAACAAATAGTTCATATTTTTGTTTTACTATTATTTTTTTGAAAATTTGAATCTGTTCGTATATTTTGTCAAATTTTCGTTTTCGTTATTAGTAGAAAATTAAAACATATTTTTAATATGTAGCATCTGCTATATGTACATGTATTTACATGATATGTAAAAGCACAATAAAAAAATGAGCATTTCGGATTTTCTGCTTTTTAAATTCGTTTTTTGTTGGTAAACAATTAAACCACCCCTTTTCTTATTGTATAACTGTATTAAATGTGATATAATTATTTTTTTTAGGAACTGAAGAACTGTTTAAGACAAAATCGTTGATTGGTATATTAAATGCTTTTGGTTTTTGTCGAATTAGTAAATGAAGAAAAGAAGAGATAACAGTGATTGATCTTATTAAATCAATAGATAATACAAATTTATTAATAGGGTATGAACTTAGGAATCCAAAAAATCCAGATGGGATCAGGTGCCTAACTGGAGTAAGCATTCCTCTGATAGAGAACCTGTTATTCTTCAAAGAAGCTCATCCATACAAGTGTTCAAAATAATCATAAATTGAGAGAAATCTCAACTCAGAACAATTTAAAATGTGTCATACATTTCTAGGGAAAATAAAGAACTCATTTTAATTTCAATTGAATTATTTCTATGTTTAACAATTTTAAATTCACAAAGAGTTTATTTGTACATGTTATTTGAATTTCTTTGTTAAGATATGAAAGACACATACAGTGATAGAATGCATTAAATTCAATACCTTACTTTTAAGCTTTTGCATGTCCCTTTAAAATAAGTACCTATCTGAGTAAGGAGATAAAGAGTATTTCATTTTAAAATCATATCGGGTTATTTTACGTATCAGATTATGGTAAAGTCCACTTTTAAGAGAGCGAATAAGTAGACTAAGTGCTATAAGTAATATAATTAGCCACTACCGGAGAAAAAATACCTGATCAGTGTGAAGGCTCTACAGCTCTAACAATTAAATATGAGTTCTGTAAATTAGATTTGCATTATTCAGATATTTAGACGGTCTTGTGTAGAATGACCTCAGGCATTCCTTGTTCATTTTCTCCAACTGATGAAATACAAGATAAAATATAATAAATCTCCCGAACCGACCAGGAATATGACAAAACGACTCAGAATTGAGAATTTAGGCAGTGATCTCATACTTTAAGATACAACGCAGCTGAAATCAAGGTTATCTTCATTAAAAAGTGTTCTTTTCGTGTGCAGTATTTCCTCTCTTGGCACCTGATCCCACATCTGATATTTAAGAGGTCCGTGTTTGCTCTGCCCCTATTTTGTGATGTTAAGGAACTTCTGAGCTCGAATACTCCACATATATATTATATTAAATGTTTTATTTGTTTATATTTTTTCGAAATAAAAACGTTAAACTGTTGTTTACATATTAATATCTGCAAAAATCAACATGAACTGTCCAAAACCTGTTGAAATAGGCAATTCGATACCTTTCATCCTTACAATCAGCGGGAAGATGCTTGTCCTAACTCTTTCTTACAAACATTTGTAAATGCGATGTGGAATAGAGATTTCTTATAGCAAGGGGTTACTTCATCAAGATTTTTTTTCTTTAAAACTCTATTTTCAATTTGATACACATTTACAAATTAAGGTGGAAATACAGATAATCAAAACATTCTACTGTCTTTGAATAGATAAAACGATTTTTCTTAGGTATACCACAGAGGCAGAGTGACTTTATCCGAGTCTGAAGCAAAATTGACAGGAATTATAAGTTCGCATGCAGCAACAATTACGAAACTGCAGAAACTGCAGAAACAATTTTGAAATTTAAGTATTGATCTGCTGAAGGACAACTGTCTAACAATGTCTAACAATGTGAAAAAATTAAAACTTTATTATCTTAGCAAACAATGTTTGGTTCTATAGAAGGTCTTAGTCAACCAATGCCTTACCAGGTCCGTATTGTTACTAGGAAAACTCATCAAATTCAGTATTTACACCTATACGTCTTGTTATGTAGGCTACTCTGTAATAAATGAGGTGTCTCACCTCTTTTATGTTACGTCCATGTAATAGAAAGCCTTGGTCAGTCTTTCGTGGAAAACATAATAAACTATAAAGATCAAGGGACGTTGATCTGAATCTAAAAGGTGTATATACGATTCATCATGATAAAGGAATATGACTCTCTAATTATGATGAAATATATATTGAATTTAAACATGCATTGTGTCTCATATCGAAGTATCAATCGTTATATTGTATTTAATTATAGCGTAAAGAGGAGAGACATAAAAGAGGCATTCAATTATACGTATATTGGGTGATGAATAACTACTTCTGGATTCGTTTATGCATTTCGTTATAAGAGGCATGAATGGTACCTAATATAATTTTGGCAAAAGTTTGTTGACAGAAAGTGCAAAAGGTTCAAATAAAAAAGTCAATGAACGTTGAAAGGCATGTCTGCCCATGTAAATATTTGAATATATTGTTTTACTGTCTATACACAACAAAAGCCAACTAACGACTAAATTGTATGAGAAACTAGCTGACTTCAGCTTTTCCATCGTCAGCTTTCCTTATTATGTATTATTATTCCACTATCACCTGCTTATGGTTTATCTCTCCCATCTTATTTGCTAATCAAGACCTCGCTCTGAGTATGATCAATTTGTTAAGCAATTTAGGCAGGCTACACACTAATAAGTTAGTAATATATGGATATTACCAAACATCATTTAAAATTAGTATTTCATTAATTTTAATTATGGTCGTTACAATGACCTTGTAAGCAAATATATCCTATCATTGGGTCTTCGTTTTGCTGACTCTTATAATTCTGACTCTGACTTCAAAATGTTCTGTCTGCCTGATCAGTACACGGCTCACGGAGGGTGTAACCGATCAGCAAGGGATGCTTACTCCTTCTAGTCACTTGATCCCTCTCGTCGAATTTCAAGGGGTTTATGTTTTATGCCCTCCTAATGTAATTTGATTGTTTATAGGTTTATAGATCAATCAAAGTTTGTTTTCATCGCCTTTTACATTTGACGCAACAACAGAATTAATCGTTATCATTTTACTAGTTTCTACATAAGAACATTTTCTTAAATATGTGAATTTATAAATTATATTGAGTGTACTGCTACAACTTAAAATGTAATAACGACACGAGATGTAAAAGAATAAGATTTAAACATTTTGAGTTATTATATATTGCATCGAATGTATTATCGAAAATATAAATTGAATTATTATATTTAATGTTTTAATCTTCTCAGTGGAAGAAATTGTAGATTGTAATACCAACTATCCATATTTCTCGTCGGTATGCAACACAAATTGTCATAAACTTTGTAGGTTGCCTTAAGGAAATGATTGCCATGTATTTGAATTGTTGTAAGGTTGTTTTTTTTTCGCTCACATGAGAAGAAGACTCAAGCGAGCTTCTAGATCAAAATTTGTCCGCTGTCTGTCGTTTTTGTTCCCATCGTCGTCCTAGACCTGTTACGATTTCATTTTTTCCCACGGAACACTGATCTGACAAAAAGTGTCCGTAGTTAAAAGTTTTTTTTAATTTGTTGAAAAGGACCTATCTCTCTTTTAAGGGCAGATAATTTTAAAAAATAGTAAAAACTGGATATCATTTAAAATCTTTTTCTCAAGAGTCACTGGGGTTGAAATGATGAAATTAATAAGAAAAACTTTGCACATTGTTTAGATTCAAGCTTGTTCAAATCATGATACCCGGAGTTAGGGTGGTGTACCTATGGGTAACATAGGTAAACATTCAATCTTTTTGTCAGGAGTCAGGAACAGCAAAGCTATGAAACCATCCTCTGATGAAGGTGAAATTGGAATAGGGCGGGACCACATAAGAAAATCAAAGATTTACACAGGGATATATATATAGAAAAAAAAAGAATCTGCTAATGAGAACAAGAGAATCCATAGTTACTGAGTTCAACTTTGTGGTTTGTATACCTCAAAATATTTTAAATAAAAATTGATTTAATTTTACATTTGCTTACAAGCGTGGATGTTATATTAATGTAAATTCTTTAACTTACATGTATTAGCAATGGGAGTATGATTTCTCTGAATTGAAGAGAAATAAATTTTTATGAAGTATAATTCAAGAAAATATTTAAATTGGCGTTAACAAAATTTGTCTAAATTTAGATACAGAAGGATTGCAACATACGGTGTGAAGAAGAATATATGTATCTATATTTTAATAATATAATTTTGTATTGACACAGTTTTCAACCATATTTGAAATTTGATTTTGAATAGTCGACTTAAATTGTCGTGATCTAAAGAATATTTTATAATATTTTGCTTTATAACATTCTACGTGTTTAACAGTTTTTAACCGTTGACAACGTTG